ACAAAGGGGGGTTCTGTAGGAAAAAACCTGGTTTCCTTTTTTGGATACACAAATATCCCTTTTAAATAACATTTAAAGGGAAAAGTTTTATCCCGGAATATCTGATTTCCTCCGTGGGAACAGAAAGGGAAAGTTTCCCCCCCAGGAGGAGATCGGGTCGTCTTTTCTTTTGGGTTTTTTTGCCTTCCCCCCTGGACCCCTTGGGTGGAGGTTAAACCTTCTTTTTTTTTAAATTTTTTAACTTTATGGACCCATTTTTTTTTATACAGCCATACAAACCAATTAAAAGCTCATATTTCGTGGGGGCACCCCGGGCGGGTTTATTTCCCCAATCTAGGTTTCACCATCAATGGTTCTCTTTTAGCAATATAAACTCCGTTGGCTTTCAAAGGGAAGCTGATCCGGGAGTTCCTCAATCTTTGGGGAACCACCCGATTGCGTCGCCTTGGAGGGGATTCTTAAAAACCATTTAAAACGCCGTTTTTTTTTAGCTTTCCCCTAACCTCAAAGTTCTGTAAAATCACGAATAAAAAGCTTGCGGGTCCCCAAACGCCCCTCAAACCCCTTCCAAACACGGGTAAAAAACGCCAAAAGAGCCCCCACCCGAAAAGCCCCTCCCCGGTTTTTTTTTGAGCTTTTAAAAAAAAAACACTAGGTGAACGGGGCCTTAAATTAAATCCAAAGGGGCCCATCTTTGGGGCAGGGGTTTACCCCCCCGCCCTCTTTTCCCCCTTTTTAAAGGTTTACAGGGAAAAAACATTGTACAACAATTTGACCTTTTTTTTGTTACTTTTTTTTTTTCAGTTTCATTGGGGGGGGGGGGACTCAGACAAGGGGAAAACCGTAATTGTTGATGCCAAGGCTGTGATTTTAAAAAGCGATTTTTATCTTCTCTCTGTTTTGGGCCCCTTTTCCCCCGGATCGCACCGAGCAAATAAAAGGAGGCCCAGCCGGAGGGAACCCGCAGGTGGTTTAAAAGAGGCGCAACCTTTCCCCAAATTTTACCAAAAAAAAGCCCCCAAAGGGGTCCGGCGGGCAGCGAGTTGCCCCCTGGCATGCCAGGGAAGGAAAAAAAGGGGAAAAGCAGAAAAGGGCAGCCGCATGCCCCGAAAAACCCCTTGTTTAGGTCACGTTTCATGTTTTTTCCCCTCCTAAATACATACACGCCAATTTACCCCGTTAAGGTATGTGCTCCCGACCTTTTCACGCAGCAAAACCCCCTCGCGCGCAGAGAGCCCCCCCCCCAAAATTTGGGCCCCTATAAAACTGGCCGTGATGTACCCAGGAAATTTATTTTATTACCCAAAAAAGCCAGCTGTCACATCTATTTCCAAAACACTTTATTTACTTTAAAAGCAGGCCATAAACGGGGCCCAAAACCGGCCTTTTTTTAAAAAAAAAAAAAAAGAAAAAACGATCATTCAAATCGGGCCGACATTAACACCCCAAAGGGAAAAAAAAACGGGCCCATTTTCCCCATCTACGCTCCGCAAATTTGATTTTCTTTCTTTCTTTCTTATTCCAGAACGCACACCTCTACAAACTCGCACTTTTCCTAAAATGGACGCTCAAAACGCATTGTGTGGCGGATCGCATCTGTTGTGACCCACCTAAGTAGGAACACATAATATGTAGCCTATCGGGCGAATCTCTTGTGAGTTTGAAAGGCATCCAGAATCGCATTTGTGTGAACCAGGAAGCTCCCCACTCACACCTGAGCCTTTTGGGATCACTGCGGTCGCAAAATGCATGTTCAGGTCCCATTATTTTCAGTGGAACCTTAAACCTGCCGTGATGGTGGCAAATCGCATTGCGTGACGCTTAGTTCGCCCCAAGCGCTGACGAACCCACGCTACGCTAAAACTGTCTCCTAACTTTTTTTTTTTTTTGCTGGCTCCTAGATTCCAAGCAAATTTGTCAAGCCGCCGGCTTTCATACACTGATTTCTTATGATCGTCAGCTCCATCTAGTGGCCATAATGCAGTATTTTGTTTTGGAAATGCCTTAATCAGGAAAATAGCACATTATGTCCACTAGTTGGAGCTGACGGTCATAAGAAATCAAATGTACTAAGCAAAATATGGTCAGAATTCATGACAGCTGGTAAATACTTGTTACATTAACCCCTTCCTATCTGGCCCATGTATATAAACGGCCGGACGGTGGCAGTGCAGGGGCGGGCTTTTCCGTTCATAAACGGCGCATTCTGGACTGTGCGCGCTCCGTGGGAGCACCACGATCCGGTGCCCGCTGTGTCCTCTGGATACAGTGGAACACCAATCGTCGTACAGGACCTCTGTACGAGGTCCCGATCATGTGATCACTGATTGTTCCAATCCCCTCCATATCATGTAATTCAGGTGTTCCAATCCCCTCCATATCATGTGATTCAGTGTTCCAATCCCCTCCATATCATGTGATTCAGGTGTTCCAATCCCCTCCCAGTTCATGTGATTCAGGTGCTCCAGTCCCCTCCAAATCATGTGATCTCAGGTGTTCCAATCCCTTCCATATCATGTGATTCAGGTGTTCCAATCCCCTCCATATCATGTGATTCAGGTGTTCCAATTCCCCCATATCATGTGATTCAGGTGTTCCAATCCCTTCCATATCATGTGATTTCAGGTGTATCCAATCCCTTCCATATCATGTGATTCAGGTGTTCCAATCCCCTCCCCAATCATGTGATTCAGGTGTTCCAATCCCCGCCCAATCATGTGATTCAGGTGTTCCAATCCCCCCATATCATGTGATTCAGGTTTTCCAATCCCCCCATATCATGTGATTCAGGTGTTCCCAATCCCCACCATGGACACAGGTGTACACAATCAAGCCCCTAGGCATGCAGACTGCTTCTACAAACATTGGTGAAAGAATGGGTCGCTCTCAGGAGCTCAGTGACTCCAAGCGTGGTCCCGTGATAGGTGGCCACCTGGGCAATAAGTCCATCCGTGACATTTCCTGGCTACTAAATATTCCACGCTCAACTGTTAGTGGGATTATAACAAAGTGGAAGCCACTGGAACAACAGCCACTCAGCCACCAAGTGGTAGGCCACGTCACATGACAGGGCGGGGTCAGCGCATTGCTGAAGCGCACAGTGCGCAGAAGTCGCCAACTGTCTGCAGAGTCAATAGCTAAAAGACCTCCAAACTTGGTGTGGCCTTCAGATGAGCCCAACAACAGTGCGCAGAGAGCTTCATGAATGGGTTTCCATGGCCAAGCAGCTGCATCCAAGCCTTCCATCACCAAGTGCAATGTAAAGCGTCGGATGCCACGGTGTAAAGCATGCCGCCACTGGACTCTAGAGCAGGGGAGATGTGTTCTCTGGAGTGACCAATCACGCTTCTCTGTCTGGCAATCCGATGGACTAAATGTACTAAAAGTTATACTAAGCCATAAACTTTATCCTTCTGTTCTCTGATTGGCTGGCCGGATTTTGTGGGTGGATTATCTGTGTGTGTCTGTTACAGAAGGCGGGAAAAGAGATACATGCAGGGCTTTTTTTCTCAAAAAAATAGGTGCAGGAACTCCACTCTTCTGAGTTCTTGTCTCTGCCTCCTATCCGCCTAGGAGCACCGTCACTTGGTTCCCCCCCCTACCCATGTCCCAGCACCATCCCTTGGTACCTCCCCATATCCACCGCTGAGCACCATCACTTGATTCCAACCCCCTACCCACCTCTAAGCACCGTAACTTGGTTCCACCCACTACCCACCTCTGAGCACCGTCACTTGGTTCCACCCACTACCCACCTCTGAGCACCGTCACTTGGTTCCACCCCCTACCCACCTCTGAGCACCGTCACTTGGTTCCACCCACTACCCACCTCTGAGCACCGTCACTTGGTTCCACCCACTACCCCACCTCTGAGCGCCATCACTTGGTTTCACCCCCTACCCACCTCTGAGCACCATCACTTGATTCCACCCCCTATCCACCTCTGAGCACCATCACTTGATTCCACCCCCTATCCACCTCTGAGCACCATCACTTGATTCCACCTCTACTCACCTCTGAGCACTGTCACTTGATTCCCTCCCCCCCCTACCCATGTCCCAGCACCATCCCTTGGTTCCTCCCCATATCCACCTCTGATCACCATCACTTGATTCCACCTCCACTCACCTCTGAGCACCGTCATTTGATTCCAGCCCCTATCCACCTCTGAGCACCATCACTTGATTCCACCCCCTATCCACCTCTGAGAACCGTCACTTGATTCCACCTCTACTCACCTCTGAGCAATGTCACTTGATTCCACCCCCTACCCACCTCTGAGCACCGTCATTTGATTTCACCCCCCTACCCATGTCCCAGCATCATCCCTTGGTTCCTCCCCATACCCACCCCTGAGCACCGTCACTTGATCCCACCCCCTACCCACCTTTGAGTACCATCACTTGGTTCCACCCTCTACCCATCACTGAGCACCGTCACTTTGGTTCCACCCTCTACCCATCACTGAGCACCGTCACTTGGTTCCACCCCCTACCCACCTCTGAGAACCATCACTTGGTTCCACCCCCTACCCACCTCTGAGAACCATCACTTGGTTCCACCCCCTACCCACCTCCCAGTACCACTCCTTTTAGAGAATACACAGCCAAGTATCACTTTTTGGTGCTAAATCATTTGTATGGAATTTGGTAACGATAACAAGAAAAGCAGAAAAATAGATCCCCCACAGCCAGCAGCAATAGACCCCCCTCCCCCAACAACAGTAGATTCCTCAACAATTTGGTCCCCATAGACCCCCAGCAGCTACAACAGACCTCTCAGCAGCCAGCAACAACAGACAATAGACCCCTCCCCTCAACAGTAGATCCCTTCCAGCAACAATTGACCCCCATCAACAACAGACCCTTCACCAGCAACAATAGACCTCCCCAGCAAAAAAAAGACAACCACACAAAAATACAGTAGATCCCCTTTAGTGACCCCCAGCAGCCAGCAACAATAGATCCTCCAGCACACTCCAGTACTCCCTTGCTATTACATATATTCAATGTTGGAGGTGTCAAAACTGCGTTCCCCCGCATTCCCCTGCGTTCCCCCGGGTTCCCCAGCGTTCCCCCACATTCCCCCATGTTCCCCTCGCGTTCCCCGTGTTCCCCCCGCATTCCCCCACATTCCCTCGCATATCCCCCACATTCCCTCGTGTTCCCCCACATTCCCCCGTGTTCCCCCCACATTCCCCCACATTCCCTCTCGTTCCCCCACATTCCCTCGTGTTCCCCCACGTTCCCCGTGTTCCCCGCATTCCCCCACATTCCTCGTGTTCCCCCACATTCCCCCGTGTTCCCCCACATTCCCCCACATTCCCTCTCGTTCCCCCCACATTCCCTCGTGTTCCCCCACATTCCCCCGTGTTCCCCCGCATTCCCCCACATTCCCTCGCATTCCCCCACATTCCCTCGTGTTCCCCCACGTTCCCCGTGTTCCCCGCATTCCCCCACATTCCCTCTCGTTCCCCCACGTTCCCCGTGTTCCCCCACATTCCCCCGTGTTCCCCCACATTCCCCCACGTTTCCCCGCGTTCCCCTACGTTCCCCCACATTCCCCCACATTCCCCCACGTTCCCCCACATTCCCCGTGTTCCCTCACGTTTCCCCGCATTCCCCTGCGTTCCCCCTGCGTTCCCCTGCATTCCCCCGTGTTCCCCCGCGTTTTCCCCGCGTTCCCCTGTGTTCCCCCCACGTTCCCCCGTGTTTCCCCACGTTCCCCCCATGTTCCCCGTGTGTTTCCCCCGCTCCCCCCCCACGTTCCCTGTGTTCCCCCTGCTTTCCCCCCCTGCGTTCCCCTGCGTTCCCCCGTGTTTCCCCCGCGTTCCCCCCACGTTCCCTGTGTTCCCCCTGCGTTCCCCCTGCGTTCCCCTGCGTTCCCCCGTGTTTCCCCCGCGTTCCCCCCACGTTCCCTGTGTTCCCCCTGCGTTCCCCCTGCGTTCCCCTGCGTTCCCCCGTGTTTTCCCCCGCGTTCCCCCCACGTTCCCTGTGTTCCCCCTGCGTTCCCCTGCGTTCCCCTGCGTTTCCCCCGTGTTTCCCCCGCGTTCCCCCACGTTCCCTGTGTTCCCCCTGTGTTCCCCCTGCGTTCCCCTGCGTTCCCCCGTGTTTCCCCCGCGTTCCCCCCCACGTTCCCTGTGTTCCCCCTGCGTTCCCCCTGCGTTCCCCTGCGTTCCCCCGTGTTTCCCCCGCGTTCCCCCCACGTTCCCTGTGTTCCCCCTGTGTTCCCCCTGCGTTCCCCTGCGTTCCCCCGTGTTTCCCCCGCGTTCCCCCCACGTTCCCTGTGTTCCCCCTGCGTTCCCCCTGCGTTCCCCTGCGTTCCCCCGTGTTTTCCTCGCGTTCCCACAGCAAATAAGCCCCGGATACACATACAAAGTAGACATAAATGATATACATTGTTGTATGATTTTTGTCCTTTTGTTTAGTTGCCCTTTTTTTGCTTCGCTCGCAGGATTTCATGATTTCGGTGGGAGACAGTTCCTGGTTCTGAAGGAACCCTCTAGAAATGTTTCCTCTTCAGCGTGAACATTCTGTATTTTAGGATCTGTGGAAAATGATGACTTTTTCAGGCCATACATGGTTTGAATTCTGAACAATTTTTTGTCCGAAAATCGAAAAGTCATTAGTTCTGTAATCTGATGGTGCCACCAATGATTTCAAAAATCGGTTGTTTTTTAACGAATTTTCCAGCATGCCCGATAAACGAAATGGGGAGGAACCACGAAAATCGTCTGATGCCATTGCCCCACTAACAGAGCGAAAATTGTCCAATTATTCTTAGGTTCGATTTTCATGCGAAAATCGTTCGGAGTTGAAACCATGTATGGCCTGCATAAGACACATCAGAGATATACGACGGGAGGAGAGATTGCTGTGACCATAAATTGGAAGCTGTTGTAGTATCACATAAAATCAAACTGCGCGGGGGAGGATGGCGGCCGGTCATGTGACCTGCGCTCAGCTACGATTGGATGATTCTGTATCTTCTGTGAGCTGTCTGTGTATCTCATGTGTGTTCCATATAGAATATTCCCCCCAGCGAGGCCTCTGTCCGCTCGCTGGTGCTTTGCATGCTGTGATTTGATTCTTTGTCAGACCGCACATTGTCGCTGCATGCCCATGTGACCGCCCACAGCGCCACTTCTCATTGCACGTTACCGTCTCTTTTTTAAAATATTTTTGCCCGAAACAACTAATCATGTGTTGGAGTGCAGCTGGAGGAACATCGGCTTCACCTTTCCATGGAAGAGTAAATTGTACATCACGTATGAAGTCACTGGATATATACGGCTTAAAGGGTCACTCCACCCAGAAATCATAGCTGAGTGTTCACTAAAATGCTGGACAGTTTATTATTATTATACAGTATTTATAAAGCGCCGATAGTTCGCTCAGCGCTGTACATTACAAAGGGGACAGAACATGTGACAGAACAATACCAATACAATGTGATACATGAGGGGATTGAGGGCCCTGATCCTTGGAGCTTACAATCTAGGAGGGAGGGGATGGTGGCACAGGAGGAGATAGCTGTGGGGGATGGAGTGGTAGGAAGAGTGGAGGAGGTCGGCAAGTTAGCAGGGGTGGGGTAGGCTTCCCTGAAGAGATGGGGTTTTTCAGGGTGCGCCTAAAGGAGAGGAGAGTAGGTGACAGTCTGATGGGTTGGGCAGGGAGTTCCAGAGGATGGGTGACACCCTGAGAGAAGTCCTGGAGGCGGGCATGGGAGGAGGAGCCAGGAAACTAGAGAGAAGGAGGTCTTGTGAGGAGCAGTTTGCCAGTTATTTATATCTCCGCTCTCGGGTCTGCCTTCATCAGTGTGAGGGGTTTCCCTATCTGATGGAGAAAGAATCAGGATGGAGAGTGATTGGTGAATCGTACACATTTTTATGTTCTGTGCCATCCAATGGGATCGTCCACAATGACATTTACATCCATTTATAGGGACTTGTAATATGTGCAGCAGGGAGCTGTCCGTCCCTTGATTGTATCCCTCACCCATCTCCCTCTCCCATCCATTACCCATCCCTCTCCCATCCCCTCTTATTTTTGATCCCATGCGGTGCACCCATTGTTTTGCCATGCCTGTCCATGCATTGCCCATCCCTACTCGCCATCCAGTGCCCAATTCGGTGTACGCGATCCCTAGCCCATACCCCTCACCCATCCCTTCTCCATCCATTGCCCTTTTGCCCTTCACATCCCCGCCCCCCCCCCCACCCCCCCCGAAAGCTCCTTCATCCCTCCCATTCCCCTCACATCCATCCCTTCCCTATACATCCCCGTACCTTCTTCATATCCTATCATCCATTCCCTTCCTATCCATAACCTCACCCATCCTCCTTACATCCCTTCCTTCTACATTCCTTTCACTCCTCTATTCCAGAAGGAACGTCATCCCTCCTTTCCCTTCTCATCCCTCACATTCCATTTCCCTCCTCATCCCTCCACACCCATTCCTTATGACTACCATTATCCCTTCCTATCCTTCTTCCATACCTCACCCATCCCCTTGCTGGCCTCATCCTTCACCCATTCCCTTATCCTCAATCCTTCCTCATCAATTTCCTTCCTCATGACAATTCCCTTCTCAATACCTCACCATTCCCTTATTCCCTTGCCCTGAAGTCATCTACTATTGATGGGGCTCATACTCACCCTTCTTTCCTACAACATTAGTAAGGCAGTCCTTACAGAACTCAAGATTCCCTTCTCATCCTTCATCTTCGCCCATCCTTCTCATCCTCATAGTGGTCACTTCATCATTTCCCTTTTCAATACAAAGACTACCAGAGCTCAATCCCTCTCATTTTTCAGAAGGATCCCCGGTGTCAGCCTTTCCCTCAGCAAAACCTACAAATTGATTTGCATCATTTTCCTTCAGAGTCTTCCCCTTCATATCTCCCTTCCAGCTGACTCGGTTAGGTGGCCGATGGACAGCATCAGAAGCTTTTACAGCTGAGTTTGCATAAACCTGACTCAATTCCCAAAAGCCAAGAGGTATTAGTCACTCAGGTCCAATCAGATTAGGAAAATTACTGCCAAAACGGTAACAATAAAGACCTTTATCTTCGTGTTGAAGCTTGTGTGGTTGACCTTTAACGGCCACCAGAAATTGTGAGAGTCACTCCCTCGTCTTTGGTGTCACATAAACGAACCGGCACTTTCCTGCAGGTGTGCCGCCATTGATTGGAGTGCTCATGGTTGGTCGGCAACGATCCCCCATACACACAACACTGGGACAATACAATTGATCTGACCCATCATCCTTCCCTACAGAATCGACCGTCCGGCTGCTTTCCAGGACGAAGCTTCAGGACACGGGGAGTCATGGTGCAGATCCTGAAGGTGGGACAGTCCCCTCAGGAGGAGGACGAGAAGGAGACGGGACGACCGCGGACAATCGCAAAGCTAAAAGATCAGGACCTGAGGTGTCGACCATGCAAAAGAAAGGTGAGCAAGAAAACGGCTGGATTGTAGGGGAATGCTGCCATTGTACCCGGCCCCTCGGTCCGCGAATGGGTGAGTTTGTGGCCCCCCGAGAACGTTGATATGGATGGTGCTGCGTAGCACCTTTTTTTTGTCGTAATTAGTTTGAATAATAAAGTTTCTGACTCCCTAAAGTGATTGTAACCCTTTCCATATCCCCACAGAGAAGTGATCCAGTCCTATTGCTCTGCAAGTGTTACTCTCTCTCCTTCCGACCTACCCCTCTCTCCTCTCTTCTTCTCTCTTCTTTCCCTCTTTTCCTCTTCTCTTCTTTTTTCTTTCTTCTCCTCTCCTCTCTTTTTCTTCGTTCTCTCTTCTCCTCTCCCCTCTTCCTCTTCTCCTCTCTTCTCCCCTTTCCTCTCTCTTTTCTTTTCTTTCTCCCTCTCCTCTCTCTCTTCTTGCTTCTCTCTTCTCCTCTCCCTCCTTTTCTCTCTTCTCACTCCCTCTTCTTTCTCTCTTCATCCTCTTCTCACTCTCATCTCTTCTTTTCTCTCTCTTCTCCTCTCCTAGTCCTCTCTCCTCGTCTTCTCTTTCTTTTGCTCTCTTCTTCCTCTCTTCTCTTCTTTTCTCACTTCTCCTCTCCTCTCCTTCTCTTCTTTTCTCTCTTCTCCTCTCCTATCCTCTCTCCTCTTCTCTTTACGTCTCTCTCCGCTCCTTTCTTCTCTCTGCTCGTCTCTTCTTCTCTTCTTCCTCTAGCTCTTCCCTCACTTCGTCCTCTTCTCCTCGTCTTCGTCTCCTCTTCTCTCTTCTCTTCTACCATTCTCTTCTCTATCTCCCTCTTTCTTTCTTCTCTTCCTTCTTTCTCACATCCTCTCTCTCTTCTCTTTTCTTCCCCTCTCCTCTCCCCTCTCTCCGTTCCCCTCCCCTCTCCTCCTCTCTCTCTTCTCTGCTGCTTCTCTCTTCTCTTCTCCTTCTTTCCCTCTCCTCTCCCCTCCCCCTCTTCTCCTCTCTGCTCCTCTCTTTTCTCATTTTCTATTCTCTTCTCCTGTCCTTCTGCCCTGCCACAGTGACCCCTGTCCTCTTGCCCTGCCAGCAGTGACCCCTGTCCCTCTGTCCTGCCATTTGTGACGCCCTGTCCTCTGCCCTGCCAGCAGTAGTCCTGTCCTCTGCCTTGCCATGCAGTGAGTCCAGTCCCTGTCCTGCCTGCCATTGTGACCCCCTGTCCTACTGCCCTGCCAGAAGTGACTGTCCTCTGTCCACCTTTTGTGACCAGCATTCAACCCTGTCCCTGACCAGCTGACCCAGGTTTGTCCTCTGCCCATGGAGCATTTGTGACCCATGTCCCCTTCCCTGACCAGCATGACCCTGTCCTCCGCCTCTGCCCTGCCGGGCAGTGACACCCTGTCCCCTTCCTGCCAGCATTTTGACGCCCTGTCCCTCCGCCCTGCACAGTGAGTCCCTGTCCTTTGCCCTCTGCCATTAAGTACCATGTCCGTCCTCTGTCTCTGCCCTTTGCCAGCTGGAGAGTGACCTTTGTGCCTAAGTCCTCTGCCCAGCCAGCGGTGACCCCTGCTGCCAGCTGCCCTGCCCAGCATGAGCACCCTGTCCTCCGCCCTGGCCGCATTTGTAGATACCTGTTCCTCTGGCCAGGCCATTTGTGACCCAATGTCTTTGCCCTGCCAGCAGTGACCCTTGTCCTTTGCCCTGCCTAAGTGACCCCGTCCTCTGTGACCCCTGCTCTGCCCTCCAGCGGTGACTCCTGTCCTCTGTGCCCTGCCAGTTGTGACCCTTTCCTCTGCCCTGCCATTTGTGGACCCCTCTCCTTAGCTCGTTTGTCCCTAACCTCAGTTGACTGCTGTCCTGTGCCCTGCCTTGAACCCGCTGTACGGGTTTTTCCGTTGCCTTGTACATGCTGACCTGCTGACCTTCTACACTGCCTGCTGACTCCCTTGTACCTGCGCCATGCCTTCTGGACACGCTTTCCTCTACCCTGCTGACGCTTGCCCTCTGACCCTTGTTACGCTCCCTGCTAGACCTCAGTTCTGCTGACCCCACTACCGCTTGCACTGCTCCTGGTGACCCCTGGTACAGTGCCCTATGACCCTGTACACTGCCCTGCTGACCCTTCTACACTGCCCTGCTGACCCTTCTACCTGCCCTGCTGACCCCTGTACGCTGCCCTGCTGACCCTTGTACGCTGCCCTGCTGACCCCTGTACACTGCTCTGCTGACCCCCCTGTACACTGCCCTGCTGACCCCTGTACGCTGCCCTGCTGACCCCTGTACGCTGCCCTGCTGACCCCTGTACGCTCTGCCCTGCTGACCCCTGTACGCTGCCCTGCTGACCCCTGTACGCTGCCCTGCTGACCCCTGTACGCTGCCCTGCTGACCCCTGTACGCTTGCCCTGCCCCCTGTACGCTTGCCCTGCTGACCCCTGTACGCTGCCCTGCTGACCCCTGTACGCTGCCCTGCTGACCCCTGTACGCTGCCCTGCTGACCCCTGTACACTGCCCTGCTGATCTCTGTATGCTGACATTTTTTATTGCACTCCCACATCAGAGAGGCTGGATCCGGCGGTGCTTGTGCCATAGACAGCGTCCTCATCATCCATCTTCGCTCCTGCATGAAGGCTGTGCAGCTCCTCACTAGGGGCCCCCGCGCCAAGATGCGCATATCTGCGCGCGTTCCTGTGAATGGCGCCTAAAGGTGGCCATACGATGGAGAAATTTGTGGTCAATCTAGATGCAAAAAAGTTCTTCACAGATTAACCCCTTCCATCCGGCCCTGGCGCTGCTTTCATAGGGTCTGTACAGCCGGCGGGCAGGAAGGATCGCCAGTCATGTGACCCATTGTGATCGGCTTCTTGCATCCTTTTTACAGCATAGCTCAGACTGGGGGGGGAGGGAGAGGCAGCACCAGGAGCCAATCAGGAGCATGCTGACAGGAGGAGAGGGCAAAGTGACGTGGAGATGAGCTCATCAGTCTTCTGGGGAGGGACAAGACCTGTAAGCGCTACTAAACTGCAGCAGTGAAATGCCAGGTCTGCGGCCTGTCAGACAGGCCTGTGCTGCGTGACAGAGTTGTGTGAATCTCAGAACTGGATGGACAACAAGTCTTTTTGAATCTCTTTTATATGTATTGGTTTGCCTAAAACCGGATTAGGCTTGTAAATGCCATGTGAATGAGCCCCCCCAATTCCTGTCTGGTGTCCCCCCCCAGGTATATCCAGCAGCATGAACTTCGATGAAGAAGGAGACGAGGAAGATGAAGACAGCTCAAGTTCCTCCCAACTGAACAGCAACACCCGGCCCGGCTCCGCCACCAGCAAAAAGTCCAACAAGGTGAGGAGCACCTTCAATCTGATTGGCTCCGGGACTAAGACCAATGAGCATGGTGGGCAAAAGTACCAGAGAATTTTATATCGAAGGCCACGACTTTCCCCATTTATATCGAAGGCCACGACTTTCCCCATTTATATCGAAGGCCACAACTTTTCTCCATTTATATCGAAGGCCACGACTTTCTTATTTATATCGAAGGCCACAACTTTCCTTATTTATATCGAAGGCCACGACTTTCCCCATTTATATCGAAGGCCACAACTTTTCCCATTTATATCGAAGGCCACGACTTTCCCCATTTATATCGAAGGCCACGACTTTCCTTATTTATATCGAAGGCCACGACTTTCCCCATTTATATCGAAGGCCACGACTTTCCCCATTTATATCGAAGGCCACGACTTTCCCCATTTATATCGAAGGCCACGACTTTCCCCATTTATATCGAAGGCCACGACTTTCCTCCATTTATATCGAAGGCCACGACTTTCCTTATTTATATCGAAGGCCACGACTTTCCCCATTTATATCGAAGGCCACGACTTTTCTCCATTTATATCGAAGGCCACGACTTTCCTTATTTATATCGAAGGCCACGACTTTCCCCATTTATATCGAAGGCCACGACTTTCCCCATTTAAATCAAAGGCCACGACTTTCCCCATTTATATCAAAGGCCACGACTTTCCCCATTTATATCGAAGGCCACGACTTTCCCCATTTATATCGAAGGCCACGACTTTCCCCATTTATATCAAAGGCCACGACTTTCCCCATTTATATCGAAGGCCACGACTTTCCCCATTTTTATCGAAGGCCACAACTTTCCCCATTTTTATCGAAGGCCCAACAACAATTTTCGAAGGCCCCCATTTTTATCGAAGGCCACGACTTTCTCCATTTATATCGAAGGCCACAACTTTCTCTATTTATATCGAAGGCCACAACTTTCCTTATTTATATCGAAGGCCACAACTTTCCCCATTTATATCGAAGGCCACGACTTTCCCCATTTATATCGAAGGCCACGACTTTCCCCATTTATATCGAAGGCCACGACTTTCCCCATTTATATCGAAGGCCACGACTTTCCCCATTTATATCGAAGGCCACGACTTTCTTCATTTATATCAAAGGCCACAACTTTCCCCATTTATATCGAAGGCCACGACTTTCCCCATTTATATCGAAGGCCACGACTTTCCCCATTTATATCGAAGGCCACAACTTTCCCATTTATATCGAAGGCCACAACTTTCCCATTTATATCTAAGGCCACGACTTTCTCCATTTATATCGAAGGCCAAACTTTCCCCATTTATATCGAAGGCCACAACTTTCCCCATTTATATCGAAGGCCACGACTTTCCCCATTTATATCGAAGGCCATAACTTTCCCCATTTATATCGAAGGCCATAACTTTCCCATTTATATCGAAGGCCACAACTTTCTCCATTTATATCGAAGGCCACAACTTTCCCATTTATATCAAAGGCCACGACTTTCCCCATTTATATCAAAGGCCACGACTTTCTCCATTTATATCGAAGGCCACAACTTTCTCCATTTATATCGAAGGCCACAACTTTCTCCATTTATATCGAAGGCCACAAACTTTTCCATTATATCGAAGGCCATAACTTTCCCCATTTATATCGAAGGCCACAACTTTCTCCATTTATATCGAAGGCCATAACTTTCCCCATTTATATCGAAGGCCATAACTTTCCCATTTGTGATGGCTTAGGGAAGGGTTTTAAAAGGGTTTTCTTATAGCCCTCTTTGTTCATTTGGGGAGATTTCCCTTCACTTTCTGCCCTGTAGAAAAAAAAAAACAGGAATTGAGAGGAAATCCCTTCCTGTTCTGGTGACAACTCTAAACTTTATATTTCTCACCTCAGAGACAGTGGTCACCAGGACAAACACATGTTCTAACCTTTCGCCACTCTATCCAGAACTGTTTAAAAAGTTTTAGTTTTGGGAACACTATAAGTAGCTTAGTTGTAACTAAATCCACCCAAAACTGATGCAGGAGGTCTGACTTCAGAGGATAGCCATGACACATTTTTCATCGAGAGGTTAGCAATGACACAACATGCACTTCTCTCTCTATGTACTTCTGTAAGAAATGACTCTCTTTGGTTGGTTAATTAAGTGTTTGTTCCCCTCAGGAGAGCGCCGCAGCACCGAGCCCACAGACCAACGAACCGTCCATCGACGTGGAGGACCTGGAAGAGTTCTCAATGCGGCCGGCCCCTCAGGGAGTCACCATTAAGTGCAGGATCACCCGGGATAAGAAGGGCATGGACCGGGGCATGTACCCCACCTATTACCTCCACCTGGAGAGGGAAGACGGCAAAAAGGTTTGTGATGTTGAAGGGTTTAAGGAAAGAGACCATTTTTTGTTTTGCCGAAATATTGGGGAAAAAATTGGAACACTTAGATGAAATTATGCCATTAGGTGAAATAGACTCAATGGGAAAAGCCAATGGGATAAGTCAAAGGGAAAATGGTGTCAATGGGAAATGGAGTGAATGGGAAAAGCCAATAAGAAAGGTCAATGGGAAAATGGTGTCAATGGGAAAATGGTGTCAATGGGGAAAATGGTGTCAATGGGAAAATGGTGCCAATGGGAAAATGGAGTCAGTGGGATAAACTAATGGAAAGTCAATTGCAAAACTGAGTCAATAAAAAAAGCCAATAAGAAAAGTAAATGGAAAGTGGAGTCAATGGGAAAAGTCAATGGGAAGATGGAGTCAATGGGAAAAGTCAAAGGGAAAATGGTGTCAATGGGAAATGGAGTGAATGGGAAAAGCCAATAAGAAAGGTCAATGGGAAAATGGTGTCAATGGGAAAATGGTGTCAATGGGAAAAATGGTGTCAATGGGATAAACTAATGGAAAGTCAATTGCAAAACTGAGTTCAGGGATAAAACTAAAAAGCCAATAAAAATGTAAATGGAAAAAAAGTCATATAAAAAAGTCAATGGGAAGTGGAGTCAATGGGAAAAGTCAGTTCAATGGGAAGATGGAGTCAATGGGAAAAGTCAATGGGAAGATGGAGTCAATGGGAAAAGTCAATGGGAAAAATTGATGAAGCCTATGGGATAAGCCACTGGGAAAAACCAACAAGAAAAGTCAATATAAAAATGGAGTCAATCGGAAAATGGAGTAAATGAAAAATGCCAATGGGAAAAGTCAATGGGAAGATGGAGTCAATGGGAAAAGCCAATAATAAAATTCAATGGGAAAATTGAGTCAATGGGGAAAACCAATAAGAAAGGTCAATGGGAAAATGGAATCAATGAGAAAAGTTAATGGGAAATGGTGTCAATGGAAAAATGGTGTCAATGGGAAAATATAAACAATGGAAAATGCCAATAAGAAAAGTCAATTGCAAAATTGAGTCAATGAATAAAGCCAACGGGAAAAGTCACTAGGAAAATTGAGTCAATGGGAAAATTGATGAAGTCTATGGGATAAGCCACTGGGAAAAACCAACAATAAAAGTCAATATAAAAATGGATTCAATGGGAAAAGCCAATGGGATAAGTCAATGGGAAAATGGTGTCAATGGGAAATGGAAGTGAATGGGAAAAGCCAATAAGAAAGGTCAATGGGAAAATGGTGTCAATGGGAAAATGGAGTCAATGTGAAAAGCCAATGGGAAATGGAGTCAGTGGGATAAACTAATGGAAAGTCAATTGCAAAACTGAGTCAATAAAAAAAGCCAATAAGAAAAGTAAATGGAAAAGTCAATGGGAAAAATGAGTCAAGTCAATGGGAAGATGGAGTCAATGGGAAAAGTCAATGGGAAAATGAAGTGACTGGGAAAAACCAATAAGAAAGGTCAATAGGAAAATTGTGTCAATGGGAAAAGCCAATAGGAAAAGTAAATGGGAAAGTGGAGTCAGTAGGAAAGTTGAACCCTAGTCAGAAAAACTTTCACTTAAACATCTTCCACAGAAGCTATAAAGAATATAAATCCACTCAGTGGGCACCAAATGCCTTTACAAACCCAGATATTACCTTATAAAAGCAGCAGTGGTACTTTGTTGGAGATTCTCAGGGTCTGCATCAAATTGCCCGAAGTGCTCAACTGGTTTATGGCTCCCGAAGTTCCTTTTAACTCTGCTGGGTCTCTTCTTTTTATTTGATGTTTTTTTTTCCCCCCAGAAATACAAACAGTGAAAAAAAGTCAAAACATTTGTTTTGACTTTTTTCACTGTTTGTATTTATATAAATAATATATAATGTATAAATAAATAAAAACAATCACGTGCAAATAATCATCAAATACACAAATACTGAAGAACACAAATACTGAGGGAAGGACTCTGAGGGCCCATCTGAAGAAGAAGCACCCCCCACCGACAAAGCCCAACAGTCTCTATAGGAAGAGCAGCCTCAGCCCATGCTCCGTCCAGGCCACCCACCGACGCGTTTCGTCCCACCCACAGGGCTTAGCCATGGAGGTTGTCAATACATATTATTGTGCATTGTGGGAAAGCACAATTGAAAATATTTGTGGCTGTGGGTGTTATGTGGAATATTCCGGAGGGGGGGGGGGGTTTGTGTTCCAGTTTAGAACTGATTTTGTATTGTCTCCTCTTTGCTTCCTGAAGGTCCAGAAGGGGGTTTTAGTGTCTCGAATATATATATATTTTTCAGGTATTTCTATTGGCTGGGAGGAAAAGGAAGAAGAGCAAAACCTCCAATTACCTCATCTCCATCGATCCGACCGACCTCTCCCGGGGAGGAGAGAGCTTCATCGGCAAATTGCGGTAATAATATGGGAGGGATACATCGAATAAATGTCCAAATTTTACTGGGACCGATCTCCACCCACAATCGGGAGAGTAAGTTCAGTATCGATCAGGGAACAACATCCGGAATTCATATCTTCACAATGTAGGTCTATATGCACCTGAAAAACGCAACCAAACTGCAGAAAAATGTTTCATACAAGAACTACTGTTAAGAAACCGCGCTGAATCAAATCGCGTATGTTTTTCCATATGGATACTTTTAGAAATATTTTTGCAACATATTTCGAAAAAAAAAAATACAAGCTACATATATTTACAAAAATATATTGGCCACGCGAATAATGATTTTAAACGGTATTCCAAAAAATTTTTAATTAAAACATATTTTCTGGAAGGCCAATACAATTTAAAAATATACTTTTTTAAAATATATTTTTCCAGCTATTTTTGAACATCTAAAAAAATCTATATAAAATACATTTTTAAACATAGTATTATATTTTAAATATACTTTGATAAATGCATTCCCCCCGCCCCCCCCCCCCCCCCCCCCCCCCCCCCCCCCCCCCCCCCCCCCCCCCCCCCCCCCCCCCCCCCCCCCCCCCCCCCCCAAAAATGTAATGTTAAATGTATTTTCCAGAAGACATATATTTGAAAATATATTTTTAAAACATACTGCCATCTTCAGATTGTTTTTTTTAACAATAAAAAAGTAATTTTCAGCATATACCTTTTACATATATTTGTAAATGCATTCCAAAATAACACATTGATATATATCTCACATTTTTGATGTCTATTTAAAAAATAATATTTTGGAAATACATGTAATATGCCAAAATTGTTATATGTTAAATTTTAAATACATCTCTGAAATACAATAATATGTTGAAAAATCATATTATTCATAAAATATATTTTTCATATATATTGGAGAAATGAAATAAATATAGATATATGGACTCGCATGTTTGAAACTGTATTTTTTTATTACAAAATATAAAGAAAAGATATTGATTTTAAAAATAACATTGTCAAATATAACCGGAGGTCTTTAGAAAAATACAACTTAAATCTACATTTTGTTGGAAATGATATTTAGAAATATCTATAACACAATACATACATGAATAAAATGACGTTTTTTTATCATGTTACAAAAAAAATCTGTATATATATATTTATAAAAATATATAGATTAACAAATATATTTTTTCATCACACTAGTTTGAGATAATTATAATAAATAATACTAATACTAATGCATGGTTGTAATGATGTTTTTATTACAAAGTTATATATAAAATAATATTTTTAAAAAATACATTTCAAATATTAACCGTGTAGGTCTTTAAAATTCATTTAATCTACATTTTTGGAATGTATTTAGAAATATCTATTTAAAATACATGTTTTAAAATGAACTTTTTTTATAGTTTAAAAAAAATCTGAATAATATATTTTAAAAATATTTATTTTTAAAATACAATTTTTTCATATATTATGATAAATAAATAAATATATATATACTACTGCATGTTATTAAATGTGTTTTTTATTACAAACTATATGAAAAATATTTTTAAAAAAATACATTTTCAAAATATAGTAGTAGGTCTTTAGTTAATAATACATTTAATCTACATTTTTGGAATGTTATTTAGAAATATCTATATAAAATACATGATTAAAATGACTTTTTATATATTGTTAAAAAAATCTGATATTGATATTTTAAAAATATATATTTTAAAAAATATTTTTTCATATATTTTGATAAAATAAATAAATAATATATATACTGCATGTTGACAATGTGTTTAAACAATTACAAAACACCATATGAAAAAATTATTTTTACAACAAAAATACATTTTCAAATATAACCGTATGTCTTAAAAATACATTTAATCTACATTTTTGGAATGGTACTAAAGAAATATCTATAAAACACACTACATGTATTAAAATAACTTTTTTATATAACAAACACAAAACTGAAAAAATACCATAACAATATATTACAAAATTAACAACATATTTTTACATATATTTTGATAAACACAAAAAAATAATATCCAACTGCATGTTAACAAAAATGTAATAAAATAACCAAACATATCTCGAAAAATATATTTTTAAAAACTACATTTTCCAAAATTACAAAAAAATTAAAGTAATTTTTGGAATGTATTCAAGTAAAGTATTATATAAAATACAATAAATTAAATGACTTTATTTTATGTACCAACAAAATATTTTGAATAAAAAATATGCAGAAAAAAAATAAACCAAAAAACTAAAATAAAAAATTATATTTTCTAAATAAAATAAATACTCATTATAATAATTATAATGTATTAAATTTACAACAAAAAGATAAAAAAAAATACGAAAAAAAACATTTTCAAAAAAATATACCAGACCACATCTTCAATTTAAACATACATTTCAAATCAAACACTTTTTGGAATGTATTTTAGAAATATCTATATAACAATTTTACAAACGTTAAAATGACTTTTTTAAATATAACCCCACTAAAAAAATCTGAATAATATATTTTAAAAAATACTATATTTTAAATATAATTTAATCATAAATTTTGATAAAGAGTAATTAAATTATATATTATATTCTGCATGTTAAAAAATGTGGTTTTAATTATAGATAAAATATATAAAAATATTTTGTTAAAAATACATTTTCCAAAATATAACGTAGGTCTTTAAAAAAATTTAATCTACATTTTTGGAATGTATTTAGAAAAAATCTATATCAAAATACATGTTAAAAATGATTTTGTATATGTTAAAAAAAAATCTGAATAATATATTTTAAAATTATATTTTAAAATATATTTAACTCATATTTTTGATAAATAAATAAATATATATATATGCATGTTGAAAATGTGTTTTTATTACAAAATCTATCTATAAAAAAATATTTTTAAAAAATACATTTTCAATATTACGTTAGGGTTTTAAAAATACATTTAATCTTACATTTTTAGGAATGTATTTAGAAATTCTATATTAAAAATACATGTTAAAATGACTTTTTTATTGTTAAAAAAAAATCTGAATAATATATTTTAAAAATATCTATTTTAAAATATTATTTTTCATTATTTTATTTATAAAAAAAAATTGAAAGTTACACGAATTTTTTTTTTAAAATAACAAATCGAAACGAAACCAAATTTTTTCGTTTCGGCGCATGTGTGCAGCATAGCCATGACAATCACAATAACAAATTCTTTTTCTTTTATTTTCCGGCTCAGATCAAACCTAATGGGTACGAAGTTCACGTCTATGACAAACGGGGTGAACCCAGTGAAAACGTACTCCAGCCTGGAGGCCAGCAATCTACGGCAGGAGCTGGCCGCCATCTGTGCTACGTGAGTGCGCGGCGAAACTCAGCGCCTGCGGCATCACGATTTATCCAATTGTCTCATGGATACATTGTATTCTTCTGTACTACAGGATATCCCAGGGGGGGAGGGGTGGTGTTATTTGCCATGATACTATAAGGTCTCATTTCAGTGAGAAAATGCATTTTTCTGAATTTAATACATTTCTGTGGTTGCAGCTGGCATACTTAAGTTGCTTTTAAAGGGTGGACTCCACTTTCGTGTGGGATAAAATAGCAAAAAAAAAAACCAAACAACGTATATATATATATATATGGTTGGGCAGTCATACTTGGCAACAGGAACGGGGCATCCCGAGAAAGTTGGGAGCATGAAATTGTCCAAAATGTCGCTTAAGAGTTCCCTTCACTGGAAACTCGGGGGCCAAGCCCACCCCTGAGACACAACCCCCAACCATAATCCTACCTCCACAAACTTTACACTTGGCACAATGCAGTCAGGTAAGTACCGTTCTCCTGGGCAACCGCCAAACCAGACATTGTCCATCAGATTGCCAGACAGAGAAGTGTGATTGGTCCCTCCGTGGTGATTGGTGTAAACGCAGGCTGAGTGAAGAGTAGCTTTTGTAGCATTTCCAGCCCCGCCCTGCATCATTCTTCTAATGCAGGCCATAGACGGGGAGAAAACCGGCCATTTTTTTTTTAAGAAAAACGGAAAATCGGTATGTTCAATCAGCGACATTACCATAGAGATGAGCGAATCCGAACCTGGCGAAGTGGAATTCGCTTCGAATATTAGGAAAAAATTGGATTCGCGTCGATATCGAATATTAGCAAAACTTCGGATGCACGAATCGAATTTTCCCGACTCTGGCCGATTTTCATCCCTTCTACAGCCCGGCAAAAAGTGTCCCTGCAGAGAGCTCCGCTATTTGCTGACAGTTCTGACTGACAGTTCCTTCACATTTACAGCGCGATGAAACATTGTATCTATTTTGTTTCCATTTAGGATAACAGATGTTTTTAATCGGAAACAAATAGATACAATGTTTCAAACCGCTGTATAAATGTGAAGGAAACTGTCAGAGAACTGTCAGAAATAGTGGAACTCTCTTGCAGATCACACTTTTTGCTGGAATGGAATCTTCTTCATCCTCATCCTACTTCTTTCCTTCTTCTTCTTCCATCCTCCTCCTTACTTCATCTTCTTCTTCTTCTTCCTGCATCCTCATCCCTTCTTCTTCTATCTTCATCTTATATCATCCCTCCTCCCTATTCTTCTTCTTCTTCTTCATCTTCTCATCCTATTTTCTTCTTCTTCTTCTTCTTCTTCCTCATCTACTCTTCCTTCTTCTTCCCTCCTCTTCTTCTCTCCTACCATCCTACTTCTTCTTCTTCTTCTTCTTCTTCATCCGACATCCTACTTCTTCTTCTTCTTCTTCATCCTCATCCTACTTCTTCTTCTTCTTCTTTTCCTCATCCTTCTTCTTCTGTCTTCTTCTTCTTTCTTCTTCATCCTCATCCTACTTCTTCTTCTTCTTCATCATCCTCATCTCTCTACTTCTTCTTCTTCTTCATCCTCATCATACTTCATCTTCTTCTTCTTCTTCATCCTCATCCTCTTCTTCTTCTTCTTCTTCTTTCATCTAACCTTCTTCTTCTTCTTTTCTTAATCCTCATCCTACTTCTTCTTCTTCTTCTTCTTCATCCTCATCCTACTTCTTCTTCTTCTTCTTCTTTTTCTTCATCCTCATCCTACTTCTTCTTCTTCTTCTTCTTCATCCTCATCCTACTTCTTCTTCTTCTTCTTCTTCTTCATCCTCATCCTACTTCTTCTTCTTCATATCCTCATCCTCATCCTCTTCTTCTTCTTCTTCTTACTTGCCATGGGCCCCTGTACCGTCCTCCTCATGCTGCATGCACGGTCCAGAGTGTGTCATGGGTCCCTGTACGGCCTACCCATTGCTGCTGTCTCCATCGCCACACTCTGTCATGTGCCACTTTCAGGTCTCCTCACATGCTGGGTGGTTTCCATTTTTGTCATAGGGTGCTGTATGGCCTCCCATTGCTGCTGCCTCCACCGCCACCACTGTGGCTCCACACTCTGGTTTTGGCCCGTGAGCTGCCCAAATGAGTGAAGTGTGCGGTGATTCTAAAGATGGACGGCATCAATCTCAGGCATGTCATACTGACTGACAGTATTATTTCTCTTCCCCAGCAGACTCCAAGGGCATTTAAATTAAAGGTACAGTGTTCTGCACTAATATAAAGGCTCTCTGAAGTAGAAGAAACCCTTTTATAAGTTAAATTCATCAGCGAATAAATTGCATCGAGTAACGAATTTTATTCTCGAATTCGCCGAATCAGCCAAATCGAATTTTTGAATTCTTCGCTCATCTCTAATTACCACCATTGGTAAAAAAAAGTCGTGTGATTTTCGTCCGTCTACGGCCAGCAGATATAATAGTGAAGTGTCTCTGCAGAGAGATCCGCTATTATATTTGACATTTAAAAAGTACAGCAAAGTTGTAACATTGTATCTATTTGTGTCCATTTCGGATCCAGATGTTTCTATTCGGATACAAATGGATACAATGTTGCAACTTTGCTGTACTTTTAGATGTCAGATATAATCGCGGATCTCTCTGCAGGGGACACCTCACGATTCTATGTGACATTTATAAGTACAGACGTTCCTTTTCTTTTGTCTTCATCTTCTTCTGTTTCTTCTTTTTCCTCTTGCAGGTCACGGCTCATGCGCATTTTTTTAATCGGTAAAAAAGATCGGCTGATTTGCCCATCATTGCCGTGAAAATCGGCCGAATTTGCCGATTTTTTTCCAACTTCACCGATTAAAAAAATGTGTCAGAATGACGAAAAAACGGCCGAAAAATTCAGCCACTAACGATCCGAAAATCGACCGTTTATTCTTTCAGACGAATTTTCGGCCGGTTTTCTCCCCATCTATGGCCTGCATAAGAGTCGTTCATCGATCTGATGGGAATATTTTGTCTTTGTTGCTCCAGGAAACCAACGTTTTAGGCTTTAAAGGACCTCGGAAAATGAGTGTGATTATTCCAGGGATGAACATGGACCACGAGAGGGTGTCTATAAGACCCAGAAATGTGAGTACTTACCTCCGTCCTGGAAGGATTTCTACCTACCGCTTGTGACAACATGATACACAAAATAAACTCATTTCACCCAAAATTCCCAGCTTTGTACCCTCACTGTGCCCATTATGAGGGGCTCCCACCATCCCTGTGCTGAGTTCCCGGGTTTGTACCCTTGCTGTGCCCATTATGAGGGGTTCCCACCATCCCTGTGCCGAGTTCCCGGGTCTGTACACCCGCTGTGCCCATTATGAGGGGTTTCCCACCATCCCTGTGTGCTGCATTTCTGGGTCTGTACACCCGCTGTGCCCATTATGAGGGGTTCCCACCATCGCTGTGCTGAGTTCCTGGGTCTGTACACCCACTGTGCCCATTATGAGGAGTTCCCACCATCCCTGTGCTGAGTTCCCGGGTTTGTACCCTTGCTGTGCCCATTATGAGGGGTTCCCACCATCCCTGTACTGAGTTCCCGGGTCTGTATGCCCACTGTGCTCATTATGAGAGGTTCCCACCATCCCTGTACAGAGTTCCCAGGTATGTACACCCACTGTGCCCATTATGAGGGGTTCCACCATCCCTGTGCCAAATTCCCAAATCTGCACCCCCTGCTGTGCCCATTATGAAGAGGGGTTCCCACCATCTCTGTGCTGAGTTCCCGGGTCTGCCCCACGCCGCTGTGCTCATTATGAGAGGTTCCCACCATCTCTGTGCTGAGTTCCAGGTATGTACACCCACTGTGCCCATTATGAGGGGTTCCACCATCCCTGTGCCAAATTCCCAAATCGCACCCCTGCTGTGCCCATTATGAGGGGTTCCCCCATCTCTGTGCTTTCCCGGGTCTGTACGCCCGCTGTGCCATTATGAAGAGTTCCCACCATCCCTGTGCTGAGTTCCCAGGTCTGTACGCCCGCTGTGCCCATTACGAGGGGTTCCCACTGTCCCTGTTCTGAGTTCCCAGGTCTATACGCCCGCTGTGCCCATTATGAAGAGTTCCCACCATCCCTGTGCTGAGTTCCCAGGTCTGTACGCCCTATGTGCACAGGGGCGGACTAACACAAAACTCATGGGGCCCCCCGGGCAATAGGGGATCATGGGGCCCCTGTGTCCTTGCCAAACTCAAAAAATCCTATGAAAAAGGGTACCAGGGGCATCTCATGGGGCCCCTACTGACCTCAGGCCCTCGGGCAGTGCCCAAGTTTCCAAATAGTCAGTCCGCCCCTGTATGAGCCCATTATGAGGAGTTCCCACCATCCCTGTGCTGAGTTCCCGGATCTGGAAAGGGAACCGTGTCCCGAGACCCAGAGTGTGATTTGCATCCTGAGACCTGAGAAGGGATTTGTCTCTCCTGTTGATTGGGATTCTCTTTCTGCAGGAACATGAGACGCTTCTCTCCCGATGGCAGAACAAGAGCACGGAGAGCGTCATAGAGCTGCACAACAAGACCCCGTCTGGAACGATGACACCCAGTCCTACGTCCTGAATTTCCACGGCCGCGTCACGCAGGCTTCTGTGAAGAATTTCCAAATTATACACGACAACGATCGTAAGTGGAACAAAATCGCCACTAGTGGAATGTCTTTCACATCTCTTCCATTTACTTTGTGATTTTTAGTTTTTATCCAAACTTTTCAAACAAAGGGCCGGTTTGTGGGCCAGATCGTGGCCAGTGGGGGTAGAACATGTTTCAGGCCCCCCATCAGTGAGAGCAAACATGGCCTCAGGGTTGGTGGTCAGTAGGAGGCAGAGTAGTGGCCATCATTGGTGTCAGTGGGAGGAATAGTTTCCCAAGAGCCGGATAAAGGCTAACAAAGGGCCACATGCAGCCCTCATTTTGGAGACCCCTGGGATACATTGTACCTGATCAGACAGGAGAAACAAAGTAATATTGTTTAAATATACTATATTGGCCCAAGTATTGTCCCCGCCCCCCCCGTATATATACACTATATTGCCCAAGTATTGTCCCCGCCCCCCGTATATATACACTATATTGCCCCAAGTATTGTCCCCGCCCCCCCGTATATATACACTATATTTCCCCAAGTATTGTCCCCGCCCCCCGTATATATACACTATATTGCCCCAAGTATTGTCCCCGCCCCCCCCGTATTTATACACTATAGTTTTGCCCCAAGTATTGTCCCCGCTCCCCCCGTATATATACACTATATTGAACCACGTATTGTCCCCCCCCCCCGTATATATTAATACACTATATTGCCCCAAGTATTGTCCCCGCCCCCCGTATATACACTATATTGCCCCAAGTATTGTCCCGCCCCCCCCGTATATACACTATATTGCCCCAAGTATTGTCCCCGCCCCCGTATATATACACTATATTGGCCCAAGTATTGTCCCCGCCCCCCCGGTATATATATACTCTATATTGCCCCAAGTATTGTCCCCGCCCCCCCCATATATATACACTTATAGATTGCCCCCAAGTATTGTCCCCGCCCCCCGTATATATACACTATATAATTGCCCCAAGTATTGTCCCCGCCCCCCCTATATATACACTATATTGCCCCAAGTATTGTCCCCGCCCCCCCCGTATATATACACTATATTATTGTCCCGCCCCCCTTTCCACGCACATGACCTTTAATGGCCCCCCCAGTCTTAGTCCGTAGGGGTTCAATATTGAGTTGGCCCGCCCTTCCCACACACATGACCTTTAATGGCCCCCCAGTCTTAGTCCGTAGGGTTCAATATTGCAATTCTTTCACCAATGTTTGTAGAAGCCGTCTGCATGCCTAGGGGCTTGATTGTATACACCTGTGGCCATGGAGGGGATTGTAACACCTGAATTAGATGATATGGAGGGGATTGTAACACCTGAATCACATGATATGGAGGGGATTGGAACAACTGAATCACATGATTGGGAGGGGATTGGAACACCTGAATCACATGATTGGGAGGGGATATTGGAACACCCTGAATGGAGGGGATTGGAGCACCTGAACCCGGAGGGGATTGGAGCATACTGAATACATGATATGGAGAGGATTGGATCGCACATGTTTCATATTTGGAGGGGATTGGCACCTGAATCACATGATTGGGAGGGGATTGGATACTGAAACACTGAATCACACATGTATGGAGGGGATTGGAACACCTGAATCACATATAATGGAGGGGATTGGAACACCTGAATCACATGATATTGTGAGGGGATTGGAGCACTGAATATGATTGGGAGGGGATTGGAACACCTGAATCACATGATATGGAGGGGATTGGAACACCTGAATCACATGATTGGGGGGATTTGCACCTGAATCACAATGATTGGAGGGGATTACACTTACACCTGAATCACATGGAGGGGGATTGGAGCACCAGGAATTCACATGATTGGAGGGGATTGGAACACCTGAATCACATGATATGGAGGGGATTGGAAACACCTGAATCACATGATATGGGAGGGGATTGGAAACACCTGAATCACATGATATGGAGGGGATTGGAACACCTGAATCACATGATTGGGAAGGGGATTGGAACACCTGAATCACATGATTGGAGGGGATTGGAACACCTGAATCACATGATTGGGAGGGGGATTGGAACACCTGAATCACATCATGATTGGGAGGGGATTGGAACACCTGAATCACATGATTGGAAGGGGATTGGGGTATCACATGATATGGAGGGGATTGGAACCTGAATCACATGATTGGGAGGGGGATTGGAACACCTGAATCACATGATATGGAGGGGATTGGAACACCTGAATCACATGATATGGAGGGGATTGGAACACCTGAATCACATGATATGGGAGGGGATTGGAACACCTGAATCACATGATATGGAGGGGATTGGAACACCTGAATCACATGATATGGAGGGATTGGAACACCTGAATCACATGATTGGGAGGGGATTGGAACACCTGAATCACATGATTGGAACACCTGAATCACATATTGTATTGGAACACCTGAATCACATGATATGGAGGGGATTGGAACACCTGAATCACATGGAGGGGATTGGAACACCTGTTATTGGGAGGGGATTGGAGCACCTGAATCACATGATTGGGTGGGGATTGGAACACCTGTATCACATGATATGGAGGGATTGGAACACCTGAATCACATGATTGGGAGGGGATTGGAGCACCTGAATCACATGATATGGAGGGGATTGGAACACCTGAATCACATGATATGGAGAGGATTGGAGCACCTAAATCACATGATTGGGAGGGGATTGGAACACCTGAATCACATGATTGGGAGGGGATTGGAACACCTGAATCACATGATATGGAGAGGATTGGAGCACCTAAATCACATGATTGGGAGGGGATTGGAACACCTGAATCACATGATTGGCAGGGGATTGGAACACCTGAATCACATGATTGGCAGGGGATTGGAACACCTGAATCACATGATATGGAGGGGATTGGAACACCTGAATCACATGATATGGAGGGGATTGGAACACCTGAATCACATGATATGGAGAGGATTGGAACACCTGAATCACATGATTGGGAGGGGATTGGAACACCTGAATCACATGATTGGGGAGGGCGGGGACAATACTTTTTGGTAATCTAGTGTACATTATTCAGACAGGAGATACACAGTTACATTGTTGACCTAAAGTGCAATTTTTGTTCTCTTTCAGCGGATTACATTGTCATGCAGTTCGGTCGCGTAGCGGAGGACGTGTTCACGATGGACTACAATTACCCCATGTGCGCCCTGCAGGCGTTCGCCATAGCCCTGTCCAGCTTTGACAGCAAACTGGCCTGCGAGTAACCAGAGAAGAAAGAAAAAGAAAGAAAAAGAAAGCTGGCCGCCTACTTGTGTCTTACTCTCCTGTCTATGGGCCGATGACTTCGCTCACACAGTGTGTTTCGTTCTGTTGCCATGAAGAGGAGGAAGAACAGATCTCAGTGTTTACACTCGGCTAGATTTCTATTTCGGGAAGTCTTCTTTTGTAAATAGGCGTTATGGCCGCTCCCCGAGCGTCTTGTGGGACTCAGTAGGGAACGTCAAGCTGGTGACCCATTGTGGAAAGTCGTCATATTTTTGTATTTGTTTTTTGGTCGGAGAGGTTTGGTGGGGGGGGGGGGGGGGGGGGGGGGGATCAGAGCTTTAACGAAACCCACAGACAGGGGACACGTTGCTAGACAGCTGACCCCCCCTCTGTGATCTGTTTAGGAAAGCGAAGAGAACCTCAGCCCTCTAGCTGCTGAGGAACTACAAGGCTCAGCAACTGGACGGCTCCTTTATATTTTCTTTACAACAGGACTGGTAAACCCGTAACAGAAAATGTCCTCATGTGAAAGAACTCCTGATAATGTTTGTATCAAATTTTATATAGAAAATGATACATTTTTTATCCTGCTACTGATGACCAGGCAAACTCTCCGGCCCGGACACGAGGCAAAGGGTGGATCTCCGGCCAGGAATTTTATGGGGCACCTTATGTGTTGAAGTTTTAAGCACTGAACGCTTTTATCCCACAGCCCAATCGCCCCGGTCATTTTTTTTTTGGTTCTTAGGAATTGGAAAGTATTTTCTGGAGAAATAGCTATCGCAATTCACGAATCTTCTGTCTGAGCAGTGATACCGAATGATGTGTTATGTGCAAATTGTTCTCATGTTTTCGGCAGCACATTGGATGGGAAGGGTGACATGCCTTATCCTCTGGGTTGCTCTTTGCGTCCGTAAAACAGTTACTCTCATACTAGATAACCAAGAGTTTCTGGGCACCTGACCACCACTGCTACTATGACTGATAGTATGTGACCCTCCCAATGATGGGGGTCCACGTGTTTCCAGTGAAGGGTCCTGGTAGTATTACATCACACAAAGACATTGTAGACTATTGTGTTCTTCCAATGTTGTGGTAACATTTTGGTGAAGACGCTTTTCTGTTCCACCATGACTGTGACCTGTGTACAAACCAGCTCCATAAAGACATGAATTGCCCAGTTTGGTATGGAGGAGCTTGAGTGTCCTTCACAGAGCCCTGGCCTCAACCCTACTGAACATCTTTAGTGTGGTAACAGTTTGGTGAAGACCCTTTTCTGTTCCACCATGACTGTGCCCTGTGTACAAAGCCAGCTCCTTAAAGACATGATGGTTTGCCCAGTTTGGTATGGAGGAGCTTAAGTGTCCTTCACAGAGCCCTGGCCTCAACCCTACTGAACATATTAAGTGTGGTAACAGTTTGGTGAAGACCCTTTTCTGTTCCACCATGACTGTGCCCTTGTGTACAAAGCCAGCTCCATAAAGACATGGTTTGCCCAGTTTGGTATGGAGGAGCTTGAGTGTCCTTTGCAGAGCCCTGGCCTCAACCCTGCTGAACATCTTGGTAACAGTTTGGTAACAGTTTGGTGAAGACCCTTTTCTATTCCAGCAAGACTGTGACCCTGTGTACAAAGCCAGCGTCACAAAGGCATGATGGTTTTCCCAGTTTTGGCATGGAGGAACTTGAGTGTCCTTCGCAGAGCCCTGGCCTCAACCCTACTGAACATTTTCAGTGTGGTAACAGTTTGGTGAAGACCCTTTTCTATTCCAGCAAGACTGTGCCCTTGCGTACAAAGCCAGCTCCATAAAGACATGGTTTGCCCAGTTTGGTATGGAGGAGCTTGACAGTTCTGCAGAGCCCTGACTTCAACCATACTGAACACCTTTGGGATGAATTGGAACACCCATTACCAGCCAAGTCATTTTTTTTGGTGCCCAACATGGGGCTCAAGGTGTGATCCAGTCTTGTCATCCAAGATCAGTACCTGACCTCACAAATTTTCTTTTGGACGAGTGGGCAAGGGAACTAAATGTTCAAATCACCCTAAAGTCATTCAGTAGGGTTGAGGTTGGGGCTCCGTGCAGGACACTCCAGTTCCTCCACAAGAAACTGATCAAACCATGTTGAGTCTCCTGCACAGAGCTCTAACCTCAACCCTACTGAATGCCTTTGGGTTGAATTGAACAATTTAGATCCCTTACCCACTCATCCAAAAGAAAATCTGTGAGGTCAGGTACTGATCTTGGATGAAGACTGGATCACATCTTGAGCCCCACACTGGGCACCAAAACAAAAAAAAATTGACTTGGCTGACAATGGTTGTTCCAATTTATCCAAAACGTATTCAGTAGGGTTGAGGTCAGGGTCTCTGCATGACACTCAAGTTCCTCCACACCACTCATCCAAAAGAAAATCTGTGAGGTCAGGTACTGATATTGAATGAGAAGACTGAATCACACCTTGAGCCCCACATTTGGCACCAAAAAAAAAAGACCTGGCTAGCAATGGGTCTTCCAATTCATCCCTAAGTAGTTCAGTAGGGTTGAGGTCAGGGCTCTGTGCAGCACACTTGAGTTCCTCCACAACAAACTGGTCAAACCATGTCTTTTGGAGCTGGCATTTTTACAAAAGCGCACAGTCATATTGGAACAGAAAAGGTCCTTCACCACAAGGTTGGACAAAGCCAGCTCCATAAAAGACATGATGGTTTGCCCAGGTTGGTGTGGAGGAAACTTGAGTGTCCTTCAAAGAGCCCTGACCTCAACCTACTGAACATCTTCAGTGTGGTAACAGTTTGGAGAAAACCCTTTTCTATTCCAGCATGACTGTGGCCCTGTGTACAAAGCCAGCTCCATAAAGACATGATGGTTTGCCCAGGTTGGTGTGGAGGAACTTGAGTGTCCTTCACAGAGCCCTGACCTCAACATTATTGAATACGTCTTGGATAAATTGGAACACCCATTGTCAGCCAAGTAAATTTTTTTTGTTTTGGTGCCCAGTGTGGGGCTCAAGATGTGATCCAGTCTTCATCCAAGATCAGTACCTGACCTCACAAATTTTCTTTTGGATGAATGGGTAAAGGAGCTAAAGTGTTCAAATCACCCCAAAGGCATTCAGTAGGGTTGAGATTGGGGCTTCGTGCAGGACATTCCAGTTCCTCCACACCAAACTGATCACAACATGTCAAGTGCAGAGCTCTAACCTCAACCCTACTGAACGCTTTTTGGGTTGAATGGAGCAATTTGGTTCCCTTGCCCCTCATCCGAAAGAAAATTTTTGAGGTCAGGTACTGATGTTGGATGAGAAGACTGAATCATACCTTGAGCCCCACATTCGGCACCAAAAAAATAAAAGACCTGGCTTGCAATGGTTGTTCCAGTTCATCCCAAACCCTGACCTCACAAATTTTCTTTTGGATGAGTGGGCAAAGGAGCTAAAGTGTTCAAATCACCCCAAAGGCATTCAGTAGGGTTGAGGTTGGGGCTTCATACAGGACACTCCAGTTCCTCCACACCAAACAGATCAAAACATGTCAAGTGCAGAGCTCTAACCTCAACCCTACTGAACGCCTTTGAGTTGAATTGAGCAATTTAGTTCCCTGGGCCACTCATCCGAAAGAAAATTTGTGAGGTCAGGTACTGATGTTGGATGAGCAGACTGAATCATACCATGAGCCCCACATTGGGCACACAAAAAAAAAAAAAAAAAAAAGACATGGCTGGCAATGGGTGTTCTAATTCATCCCAAACCCTGACCTCACAAATTTTCTTTTGGATGAGTGGGCAAAGGAGCTAAAGTGTTCAAATCACCCTAAAGGCATTCAGTAGGGTTGAGGTTTGGGCTTCGTGCAGGACACATGAGGTCCTCCACACCAAACTGATCAGAACATGTCAAGTGCAAAGCTCTAACCTCAACCCTACTGAACGCTTTTGGGTTGAATTGAGCAATTTAGTTCCCTTGCCCACTCATCCGAAAGAAAATTTGTGAGGTCGGGTGCTGATGTTGGATGAGAAGACTGAATCATACCTTGAGCCCCACATTGGGCACCAAAAAAAAAGACTTGGCTGTCAATGGGTGTTCCAATTCGTCCCAAAGGAGTTCAGTAGGCTTGAGGTCAGGGCTCTGTGCAGGACACTCGAGTTTCTCCACACCAAGCTGGTCAAACCATGTCTTTATGGAGCTGGTATTTTTACGAAAGGGCACAGTAGGAGGACAGCCACAACTGAAGCAAACTCAATATTACTCTTCATGAAAGCAGGAGGGATTAACTCCATATTAATGGCCATGGTTTCGGACTGGGATGCTCTACAAGGTCGTATAAGAGCGATGGTCAAGTGTCCACAAACCTTTGGAACCTTTTCTTAAAGAGACTTATGGGAGCAGCCATTTCTACTTCTCATTCCTGACCTGGAACCAGATTGCAGATAAATGTCTGGTATTCCAGATAAATATATTCAGTTCAGGTCAGTAACTCAAACCTTACCGAACCCAGTTGGTCAGTGTAGTAGGAGAACATCTTTAGATATCTTCGATTGCCAATGCCAGTCTCCATGGATCCCTCAGGAAAGGTTTGCTTTAAAGGGAAAAAAAGTCTTTTGACCTGAAAGGTGCAGTCATATTTAAAGGCTCTGGATTTCTGTTTTCCATCCAAGATTTATCGAATTGTTTTCATCCTCCTCACCCCCGGATGTCAATGGTCTGGTTATCTGGGAACACTTGTTAGTAATGTAGAGAA